TGCTGGCACTGAGACTGACCAGGTGGGATGGGGGGCAAAAGCCGTGACCTCTGCAGGGAACATGGCATTGGAGTACGAACTGACTCAAGGGGTGGGAACTGGGACCTAGGGCCTCTTCCCTTCAGGGAGAACCTGCTTCCTGGTGTTTGCTCCCTGCTATTGGGAGTGGCCCTGCCTCTGATAGGGGTGGGGGAGTGAGTGTGGGGGTGTATCTTCCCCCTTGCTCACAGGCAGCCTTGCCTGCAGGTCACCATCTGGGAGGCGCTGACCAACACACGCCCAGGTTCCAACCCACCTTCCTATGAAGAGGAGCTGCAGCTGGAGCGGTGAGTGCCACAAGAGCTCTAGCAGTCAGAGGGCCTTCCCTCCATGGGCAACGGGACACCCTGGCCCCCCACACACACCGTCACTCTCCACAGCTCATAGGTAGAATCCCTGGCCTGGGCTCACGTGAGGCAGGTTCTAGTATCAGGACCAGATTCTTTGTCTTATATGCACTACAACAGGGATAGGCAACCCCCAGCACAAGTGCCAGCGCATGGCACGGGAAGGCATTTTTGCTTGGCACACATGCCTTGAAGCAGACAGCAGGGAAGGGACTGGGGCTGCACTGCCACAACAAGGATCAGGCCCCTCGTGTCTCCCCCATCATCCACCCCAGGTGTGCCAACATCTTACAAGTTGAGGTTGCAGGTTTTTTTGGCACTCTGCCCAAAAACATTGCTGGCCCCTGCACTACAATATGTATCGCCTATTGCTCCCACCTCCTCCCCTTCCCCACCTTCCTTGCAGTGACAGAGAACTGTCCCCCACTGCTATCAACCACAGCGCCCACTGAGGTGGATACAGAGTCCCTTAGTGCTTTTATACCCACCGTGCAGGTACTGAGCCTCAGTTGGACTTGTGTAAACAGGGATCCCAGAGCAGCAGGGCCAGAAATAGGGTTCCCTAGGGAAGTTTCCCCCGCCACACACATTTCAAGGCAAAAGGTTCAGGCTCCCAGCAGGCTCAGGTAGGCACTCAGAGCTGCCTCCCCTTCCCAAAGCAGTAACTTCAGGCCAGCATTGTGGCAGTTGCATTCACGGTGTTTGACTTTGAGGGGTTTAGAAACAGCCTTTCTTCTCCCCCATCCTCTGTTTTTTTAAAGAAAGTTTTGACCCTAATTCCAAGGCAGGAGTCAGGAGACAAGGTGCAAGACATGGGTTAGTTTTGTCAGTCCAGGTTTTCCCTCAGCCTGGGCTGCTGTCTCCCAGGAAAGCCTGTTTCTGGGATCAGGGCCAAGATCCTTTGGCTGGCTGAGGGGTGGTGTTGAGGCCCTGGGACAGAACTGAAGTGGGAGCTGTGGTTGTAAGGAGGACGCATGACTGAAGGAATACATGGGTTTTTAGGAGTGGTGATGGGGCAGTGGGGGGCAAGGGCCGCATGTTAGGATTGGGTAAAAGGCATGGGGTTCAGGCTGTGAAGTGGGAGGGTGGTGCTGTGAAGACGTGTGGCTGTGTAGGAGGGTCATGGCCCTAAATGGGGTTGGGTCATAGGATAGGGCTGGGGCTGTGAAGGTAGGCCACACGCTGTGTGTTAAGGGCCATGGCAGTGAGGTAGCAAGTTGGGGCTGATATGGGATGGGAGCATGGCTGGGAAGAAGGCTCTGGATAAGATATAGGACTGCAGCATGGCCAGGTCTTGAATATGAAATTATCGTATTGGAAGCTCAAAATTATTGTATTTGCTGAAAAACTATCATACACCGAAAAATTATGCAGATAAGCACACAAATATGTGTGCAAATAATTCTTCTTTGTTACTTTATGTTGCTCACTATAACTCATCAATGAGTGAATGAGAACTGGGTCATCAAAGTTGAAGCACTTCTTTATTTCAAGGCCAGCAGTCATAAGAAAGTGCTGACAGCAAACCCAGAAGTCAGTTAAGACTCTCTGAGAGTGACTTGGGTTTTGCATATGCTGCATCAGTTAGCTGCCTTCAAAATTATTGTACATTTTGAACACTTTTACTAGTATTGATTGTACATTGTACAAGGGTTGAAATTATTGTACAGATACGATAATTACTGCACACCCGGCAACACTGTAGGGCTGTGAAAGGGGGTTACGGGAAGGGACGGGGATGAAGAGGTGGGGCTACAGATGACATCATGGCTGCAAATGGGTGGAGCTATGGGGTGGGGGCAGGGCTGTAAAGGGGTGGTGCAGGGCAGGAGCAGGTTTATGGGGTAGACAAGTGGGTTAAGATGTGGTGCTACAGGGTACGGGCAGGACCAGGAGTGAAAGGAGCTATAAACCCTTCTCCCTACCCTGCAGCGCCATCCAGGAGAGTATGTTCCTACAGTCAGGGCAGGGCTTGGGCGAGTCTGGCAACGAGGGCAACAGCAGTGTGCTCCCTGCTGAGGGCAGCCCTGCGCCCAGCACCAATGGCTCATCCTCTTCGAGGCCCCCAGCCTACCCCAGCTTCGACGAGCAGCTGCGCCTGGCCATGGAGCTGTCGTCCCGGGAGCAAGAAGAGCAGGAGCGCCGGGAACGCGAGGAGGATGAGGAGCTGCAGCGCATCCTTCAGCTCTCACTGACAGAGAAGTAGCATCCAGGCCAGGCCCGGCCACAGGGCCCCCAATCTGAGCCTCCCCAGCGTGTGCTGTTGTGATTTTAACCTCAAGTGGGGGTCCCCACCTCCTGCCCTGTGCGGGTGGCCAGACTGGACACGGCAATTCAGACCCCTCTGCCTTCCCCAGGATTCTCTTGGCCCTGACCCCTCCTGGGTCTTATTTAATATAACTCCTGTACATTTTTTCTTTCTTTTAATATTTTTTTAAACATGGCTATTGCTTCTTCCCCCCAGTGGAGGGGAGCAACAAGAGGGGGAGGGAAGGAAGGAAGGACAGGCTGGACGAGCAATACGGTGGTGCTTGCATTGCTGACGACAGTAGGATCCCAGACACAGCATGACAACATAGATCTCTGCTGACTGCATCTGGGGATTTGGGGCTGAGGCAAGGGCCAGAGGAGGCGGGGTCAGGGCCAAAATCTTGTTTCCCATAGCACATGCTATGGGGGTGCAAGGGGAATCTGACTGGTGGGAGAAGTGGGATTGAACCCCAAACAGGCCCAGGCCCAATGCTTTTGAGTCCTGTGCTCTGCCCATGAGAAACCACCTCTTTCTAGGTTAATTTATTTTATTTATATCTCTGCAGTTCTAAGGGGAGGGAGGGAGGGGCGGGGCTGTGTCTTTTGGGGTTGGTTTGGTTTGGTTTTTGTTTTGGTTTTTTTTAATTAAACCTGGAGGGTTGTAAAGGGAATGGCTGCAGCAGGCGGCTTCTGGTGCCCCCTGGGGTGGGGCTGGGTCTTTGGGCAGCAGGCAACTGTGAAATAAAAAAGGAGAAACCAACCAACCAACCGCCCTCCTGGCTTCTTTCATTCAGCGTGGCGTGACAGCTAGCCAGAGGGCCTGGAGCCAGGATCCTGCTTGCAGCATCCTGTCCCGGGCCTGGGTCTCCTTCTGCATTCACCCAAGGTGGTGCTGTGCTCTGTTAGCCTCGAAAGGCCTCACTCCTTACTGGGGAGGGCTGTGTTGTGTCCTGAGGAAACCACTCCCCCTCCTACTCCCCACGGGCACAGCCAGGATCCAAGCTAGAGCTGACTAAGCTACCCAAGCTGCCAGGACGGCCACCTGCTACGTGGGCTGCCAGGCATGCTGGGTACACAGTGAGCGCCACCGCTGCGTTCACTCGCTATTTAAAGGGATGCTACTTCAGCCTTATCCACTACAGCCCTGGATGTGCCTGACAAGCAAGCATCGCCCAGCCAGGCGTGTGCCCAGTGGAGCCAAGGGGGTGTGCGCACACCCGGAGCAAAGCTGCCGTTGCCCGAAGGGGATGCCCGCAGCCCTCCACAGCCCCCGCTCGCCTCCCCTAAGACAGCGCTTTGCCCCCAATCTACTTGTCCATTCAAAATCGCCGTGGGCTCTAAGGCCCCGCCGGTCAACTAGTTGCCCCCGCTACATGGGGGCTAATGGATGAATGGTAGACAGCTTGCCGTCAACCGGGCTTTCAGTGGGCACCGTGCAGGCAGCTGGGTCACTGCTGCCAGGCCCAGGGCAGGGGGGTAGCCCTGCCCTTCTGG